CACACACACACACCCCCGCGGGTGCGAGTTGTATGGACTTTTTGCTAAATGTATGGACTTTTAGGTCTCTTTATACAGGTAAACTACTTTTATTCCTGATTTAAACTAGCAATCATGTGAGCAGCTGCAGCTGTATGCTTTTGTTTTTTTCAGTCAGGCTGTCGGAGCGCTCCTCCTCCACTGTCCGGTTCTTTGCCCTGCAGCCCCGCCCACGCTCACCTGTTTTTCCTCTTGTGTCTTCTCCAGCTGTTTCTCATTTGTCCTCTTTAGTTTCCTTTTAAATGTGATGTTTGATCCTCAGTCTGTCTGTTCGTTGTGCTGTTTACCCAGCCGGTGTGGTGTGTTCCTCGTGTTTCCCTGAGAAGTTATCAGTGACTTGTTCAGCTGCTTTATAGCCCTTTTGTTTATTAAACTTTATTTTTCTCTTTGGATTTTTGCCTGCACCGTGGGTCATTCTGCCTCACACCTCACAATCATTGCCGAATGCTGAGCTGATTTGTAGAAACAGACTTTTTAAATCTTGGTTGTAAAACAAAAATTAGTTTTGCATTTCTAGTTATGCTATTTCTTAGTCAATTTCTTATGTTTTTGGCAGAGCTTCAGTAAGAAAACATGCAGATATATTAGTAATTTTAAACTGTTTGTTGTGAAACGGAAGCAATGCATTCTGGGTAGGCTACAGGATACAGAACAGGAACTTTGTTCTTTTCAAATTAAGAGCGTGAATTTAAACTGTTCCGTGTTTCTTTCTTTACTATTATTTATTTATTTATTTATTTAATATTTATTGCCGCGGTGTTCCTCAGAGAGGATGTAGGACGATATGTACAGCTGAGTGTGGTTCTGCAGATCAGAAGTGCAGTTAGATTGTCACCCAGTGAAGAAATTGTTTGCTTCCTGTCTCGCAAAGAATTGTGGGAGAGAAAACCGTCACCGAGAAGAGTCAGAAGTCAGAGTATAAAGTAGAGGTGGGCGATACTGGGAATTTTGGTATCGATCCTGTAAGAAATATACGTGTTCAAAGACTGAAGTCAATATAAAACCACCACTGTTAAATATTATGATTTTTAGAAGGAATAAAAAACATACAACACCAGAATTCTGGAGCCGATGACCTAGTTGATGTCATCATTTACCCAGAATGCTTTGCATGTAAATAAAATGGCCCCATCCGTGTAATATATTTTTAAACTTTTA